TGATACTAATGGTGGCTGCTAGTCCATTGCTGCCACACCGCTGTACTGCATTTCTGCTCTTGTCACCAGGTTTAACTGCAGTGGGTGCTGGCCACTCAAGCCAGAATGTTGCTTCTGCCCTTCTGGCTCTCCTGGCTGCCGTGTTAGGGCTGTAGCCAGACTCCCTCCCCGCTATTGAGTCAGCTGGGGCTGCGGCAGGTGCTAGTCTGTCTGTGGGCCCTTCTCTGTTTTATCCCCATCCTGCCTCCATGCTTGTCCGATACACCCACCTTCAGATGTGTCAATGCATGGATCTCTCAGACACGTTTGTGTGTTGAGCAGGGAATCCTTTGTTGAATTAATTGTCCAATTTGTAACTTTAAAGGGAAAAACCAAGAGGTCTTATCACTCCATATACTGACGTCACTTTTTGTGTTCTTAGTAATATCTTTTGAAGAGGAGTTTTTAATTTTGATGAAGTTTATATGCGTTTTTTCCTTCATTGTGTATTTCGCTTTTGGTGTTGTAGCTAAGAAACCTTTGCATAACTCAAGGTTATGAAGATTCTCTCTTATGTTTTCTTCTAGAAGGTTCTTCTAGTTTTGTGTTTTAAATTTAGGTCCATGATCCATTTTGAGTTAATTTTTGCTTATGCTTCTTACTTATGTTCTCTTGCCTATTTCACATATAAGTAAGTATTCAGAAGTTATAATTGTTAAAATATTGTTTAAAAAGCCAGCATTCAGTTTAAATTACAATTTGAATGGAAAAGTAAACATTTCTTTGTTGAGAAAATAAAATAAGCCAGTTTAATATTTTGCAAACGTCAGTAATGAGTAGCAGTAAGAGGCCGCTTCTTCCCACTCAGGACCTTCCTTCCCACTTGTTCCTCTCCTTCTGGACCAGTTTCCTTTGTTGTTCATTCCCTCCCTTCCAGTCTGTGTGCAGATGTCACTCCCTGGAAGGCCTTCCCCAACCATGCTATTCAAAGTTCCAATTCTTTTCCTTCCAGTAGTCTTGGCTCTACTTCCTGCTTTATTTTTCTCATAGCACTTTACCATCCTCTTCACTTATTTGTCTGTCTCCTCTACCAGGATATAAGGTTCCTGAGGGCAGTGTTATGTTCACAGATGCATGCCTGGGCTCTAAAATGGTGCCTAGTAGAGAGCAGGTGCTCAGTAAATGTTGAATGAATGAGTGAATTTGTGAAGTTATACATATTTACCACGGTGTTAATTTTAAACCTCGGAGCTTCTAATAGGAACATATTAACAAAAGAAAATATCTTACAATAAATTATTTAATTCAGTAAACATTTGCTATAGAAACCTTTTATTTTCATAATTTTTTTAAATTATTATTTTCAGGGTTCAGTTTGGCAAAGACTTGGTGCAGATGTGACAGCAGTTGAGTTTTTGGGTCATGTTGGGGGAATTGGAATTGATATGGAGATATCTAAAAACTTTCAGCGCATCCTTCAAAAACAAGGATTTAAATTTAAATTGAATACAAAAGTTACTGGTGCTACCAAGAAGTCAGATGGAAAAATTGATGTTTCGTAAGTATGCTACATTTGTTTTATAATATCC